ATGGGGAAGCACTAATTATGGGAAGCTTAAAAAAATCTATAGCAAGCAAAAACATGAATGTAGAATTATATTTGGTGTTAACAGAACTGTTAATGGTGAATCTTTTTTAATGGAACTTAATGCACTCAATGTTTATTAACTTAAGATATACCAAGCTAGGCTTTTAATGTTTAAAACAAAATATGGTTTATCTCCTAATATTTTTAACTCTTACTTCACCGAAGTTACTCATAAATACCCTACAAAGTATTCAAATAATTATTTTGTTGTTCTAAAATCTTATTTAAAACTCAGCTCGTTTCAAATTCAATACCGTGGACCATTTATATGGAAAAGTTTTTTGAAAAAAATCATTAAAAATAAAATTCTTCTAAATTTCTAATAAGAAAATTTCAAAAGAGAATCTAAACGATTTCTATTAAAAAATTACGTCGTTCTTGAAAATTTTTTTAAATAAGTACCTACTTTATTAAAATAAGTACCTAAAATAATTAAACTGAAAAAAGTCATCATTACTCACTTATTTCTGTGTTGATTTGTTTCATATTTTCTTTTTATAAAAAAGAAAAATAAATAACTAAACGAAAAAATATATATCTTAAGATGGATTTTCTAATTGTAATATTTTGTGTTTTATTATATAATCTTTAACCTGCAAATTTTTAACTTTTAATTTTAACTTGGTACATAAACTGAAGGTGACAATGTGAACGAGGCTCGGAAATAAGACAATATATGTCTTCTTCTTGCTCCGGACATTTATTATATGTGAACAATCTTCTTTATTGTAAATTTTAATAAACAGCAAAGTAAATAAATAAATAAACGTATTTCTAGCCTCTGAGGCATGCGCTCTAACCGCTGCGCTATGGCACTTATTTAAACATAGAGGTGGACTTATGACTTTAATTTCGTTATTTCTTTGTTTTTATTGCTAACTTTGTTTTTAAATAGTTTAAATTTAGTAAAGAAAATTTCCTTGCGTTTTGCCTTTTATTAATCAATAACGTCTTTAAACCAAGAAAAAATTGTAAAATACTGCAGATATTTATATCAAGTCTTTTTATATATAATTTTACAGTTTTCAGTAATTTGTCAATCAATTTAATAGATATTGACAAATATGGCAATGAAAATCAATATGCATAGCAAATAACAGGATAAAACAGTTTTAGAAAATTTTGAAAACAAATAATTAAAGTTGCTATTTATAGTTTTAATAAAAAAACCCAAAAAAATTCCAATAAAAAGTGTTTTTCAATGGGGACTTTTAAAATTTGTATGATCTGCTTCACAATTTTTTACCATAAAATTGTCCATAACAACTTTTTAACTAAGACATAAAGTGTTACTTATTATTTATAAAATAAATTAACTTTTTTTGAAAACTTCCATAACTTTTGTAAAATTTCTGTAAATTTCGCAACCCTAGTCATTTTGCATAAAGTATAACGTTTGCCTAACGTACAAATTTTATGCAAAATGACTATAATATAACTTCTTTTTTCTTAAAATTTAACGTTGCTTCAACGCCTTTTTGACGTTATTTAGTTCTATTGTAGCATTGTTATACCGTCGCTCCAACATTGTTCGATCGTCGAAAGCAGCCGTGGCGCAGTGGTTAGAGTTCTGGCTTAAAACCCAGAGGTTCGAGGTTCGACGCCAGCTCTAGCACAACAAGTGACTTAGGTAACGAAGGAGGCGTGAACTTTCTGTTAAAAGCTCTCCCGCGGTGCTCTGTAATAACACGGTAAGGACTTCTGGGAACTCCTAAATAACTACGAAAAAAAAAAGGAAAACAAAAAAAAGAAAGACGAAAAAAAAAAATATCGAATGATCTCAGTATAACGAAATTGTTGTGAAAAAAATTTTAGATTTGAACACTACTAAATTAAAAAACATATTTATAATTATCAAAGTTTTGCCTTCTTTTTTTTTGTTCAAAAATCCTTTAGGCTCTATATAACTTTTTGGCTAGGGTTGTTTTATGAAAATATGCATTGGTAAAAAATGTAGTAGCTCATTATAAAGAAAAAAAAAATTAGGAAAAAAAAATTAAGCAAAAAGTATTTGCAAAAATATATACTAATGTCAAAAACTTAAAAAATCTTAAAAAAGAATAATTAAGTTTTTTTTTAATTTATAAGTGCAATAAATCGGCACAGTACAGAAACATAACTTTTTTGTTTCATTCAAAATATCTTTTGTTGACATTCAAGATTAATTATTTAATATAATAAAGTAGCAATAGTGTATTTTGATTGTTGTTTATATTTTTTTCTTTGCTCTGACCTTATAAATAACAATAAGTCTATAATTATATAAACTATAATTGATATTGATTTAATCAATCTGAGATTAATAAAAATTTTAATACACGAGTTTTATAGCTTTGAAGTATCAGATGGCTCTCAGAAACAAGAGTTGTGTTATCTGAATAAGGGGTAAAAATACAATCAAATCCCGAAAAAGTTAACTAAAAAAAATTAAGAGAGGCTTAAAAGTTAAAAAGATCTGGAAAGTTTTTCAGAAAAATCTTGTCAGTATTTTATTTTAAGTAACACTAAAAATCTATTTCCTTAACTTTCTAAGGAGAGTGGAAAATAACATTTTAAACGAGATTATGTACATTTTCAAAAGATCATCTGCTGTTGCTGCTATAAAATGAAAAATAAATTCATTTCATTAATTCAAAACTTTTTTTCTTCGTTTCTCTCGTTCTACTCCAAATTTTCTCTAAGCTCAAGTATTCACTTGAATTCTTTTCTTACACTACATGTTTTGCTTTGATTACACAGATATTAGACAAACTTATATATTTGTTAGACTAGTAAAATTATTGCGGAAACAGTTACTCAAAAACCTTTGATGAGTTGGTTGATGTTATGCGGTATATGCAGTCTAGTAAGAAATAGATTTGTTCATAAAACTAAGAAAAAAGAAATTATATTAACACTGAACTTTGCCAAAAACGCCTCTATAAAATCGCTTAAGGTAAACCCCAAAAATGTTTACATTTTAAGACTGGCGCAAAATTTAGAAAACAGAAAATTTGTCCCTGTCAAAAGCAAAGTTTAGGAGCTTTTAGAGTTTAGAGCTTTTAGAGTTTAGAACCATTTCTCAGAGCAGGCTTATATTCTTTATTAAAGTAAACAATTATCTTATACTATGGAGGTAAAACTATTTACGTTACATATTAGTGAGTTTAGGTTTAATGAAATATTAAAAACTTTTGGAAGAAATGGTGTCATTTTTGACTCAAAGGTGGAAAAATCCCTTGATGAAAAGAGTAAACTGCTTTATAACTTTTATATCGCTAAATCATTAGACTTTCAAGAAAAGAGAAAAGGTGATAACAATGTCTTAGTGAGGACCAACAGTACCTATGTTAAAGTTATAATAAAATTTTCTTAATTTTATTATGCAATGTTAGGGGCAGATTGTTGCAAATCTGATACTGTGAAGTTAATCAACCTTTTTCTAGAAATATTAATATGTTGTTTTTTTTTGTAACTTTTAAAACAAAAATAAATATGAGGCTAGTACTATGTTAGATGACTTTTTAAGATGCAAATAGATTTTAATTTTAATATTTGGGTCAAGAGACCATGCAAGAACATTCAAAGACATTACCTGTAAATAAATACTTAAACGTATTCGCAAATTTGAGGCAAAAATCTCTTGGAAACTGTGCCTTTAATTGGAAACAATGAGAAAGTTTATTTAATGATAAAGGATTGATGAAATAATGTTATTGATACTTTTGACATAAAACTTAACTCAAACTATTCATTCTTGATTAGAAGATTTACTTGATGTTACAAGGATGTGCGAAACTGTTACAGAGCTGTGATTTTTAGATTTTTATATTATTTATTTAGCTTTTTGGTTAAACAGTTATCGAGTATCTCGGGTAACCAAACGATACATACTGTAAATGCACATCTGGAAGTATTTGTTGATGTGAGTGCACACATGGACAAATATATGAGCAGACATCTGAATCTTGCTATTGGAAGATAAAAAGCGTAATTACCAAGCTTCAAGTACAACAAAAAACATAATTAACATATATTAAAGCCATTGAACAAGACAATAAAAATCAATGACACATTATACAGATTATCATCAACACAAATTATCGTAAAACCTTAAGTTAAAAAAATTTGTAAAATCATTGTAAAAGATAATAGAATATTAATATATATTCGATGCATTTTTAAAATATTATACTAAGGAATTTTTATATTCTATTATCATTCAACAAATCAAACAATAGCTTTTTATTATTTTTTTAATTTTTTTGCTTAGCTTGGCATACTATGTTTCTAAATTAACTACGAGCAGATTTAACATTTTTTACCAACTTTGAGTTTTCTAATAATGTTTACGTATAAATTCAAAAAACGGCCTTGAAAGTTTAATATATATAAAGTGTTGTTTTTTGATAAACTTCACTTTTCTATCATTATATTTATTTTTTTTAAATACGAAAAAAATATTTTTTTGAAAGATTGAAAATGTCAATTTCTTAAAAATATCATACCTCCAAGATTTTCCTCAAAATAAATGAGGTTTCTTGATGTTTCTTTAATAATTTTTAAACTTTTTTGGGGTACTTAAAGTGTAAAATAAACTATATGCGTTAACTAAATCTATATTATTTTTTAATTTACTAATTATTATCATAAAATAGTTTTTTACTGTATAATGACAGTTTTTTTTTTCAAACATTTAGTTATGAAAATATGAAATATGAAAGGTCCCTAACAACAGCTGCGACAAAAAAAACAACCTTTAAGCTTATAATAAGTAGACACATTTGAAGATTTTTCTACGCTATAATTTGACAATAATTTTTTTAATTTTTAACAATAAAAAAAACAGTGAAAGTAAATATAAATTCATTTAAACTAAATTCAGCTTATAACAGTAACAAAGCCATGAATTTTTATTTTTATTTTATACTAAGTTTTAATTATTTATGATAACATACTTACTCAGTGGATAACAAATATATTTAATAACAGCATACATATTGATGTTCGGACAAGAACTCATGTCAAATACTTTATTATTAAATTCAATAAAACAACTGTTATTTCTATTGCACAGTTTCGACATTGAATCATTGATCAATGTTAAAGAGCATGTTGGTAAATAATTTAGACTGCCATATGTAGCACTTTGAATATTTATCAAAGAATTAACAGGGCAAGTTATTTTGTAAGATGAACCTTGACATAGTGTAACTATAACAAAAAACGTATAATGTATAAACTTTAACTTTTTTATTATACTTTTTATTTATTTAGTTAATTTAGTTCTGTGGTAAACAGTAGCTAGCACATTTTTCTTATTAATATTATTTTTTACTATAAAAATATAAAGGTGTTTTGCTTTGAAGCAGAGTTTAAAAAAATTAATATTTTGGGACAACAAAATTTAAGTTTATTTTGCTTTAAAGTAATCAAAAATAGAATGAACAAACCATGATAATTAAATAAACAAACATATAAAAACAAACCTTGATAAGAATTGACAAAACAATTATCCTGATTTGAAACTAAAACCTAAACGAATCAGTTAATAATAGTACCAATAGAAATAATTATGAAAAAACATCATTAATAACAAGATAGCAATAAAAACTAATAACAAAGTAGCAATAAAAGTAAAATAATTGAAAATATTGAGAAAAAAAATTAGTATTGAAAAAAAAAAAAAAAATTTGAAGAGTAAACTTGAGAGTAAACGTTTTTTTGTTTGTTTGTTTGTTTTTTTTTTATTACATTTATTTCGCTGTTTAACAAAAAATATTCAAAAAAATATATATACAAGAAAGAAAAAATATGTCCGTAGAACAAATAAGAAAGTAAATTCTCGTCAACAAGCACCATTTTTGTATATACAGTATAAAATATAAACTTTTCTTTTTTACTATGGTTTTTATAAAATAAAGAGTTAAACAGACAGGAGCTCAATAAAGATGCAAGTGACAATACGTAATCATAATCTTTTCATAGAGTCCCTATATACACTTTCTAAAGAATATAGATATTAAATTAAAAACCCTCACTGACATAAAACTGCTGCGCTGATCAGTAAACTAAATAAAGATAAAAAGTAAAAAAATTAGAAAATAAATAAAATTCCTTGGTGATTTCTTTAAGCACAAAAGATGCCCACATTTTGAAATTTTTTTTTATTAGAAACTTAAATGAGCTTAATGACTTTGCCATACATACGAGTATTGCAAAGTCATTAATACGAGAGATATTAATATTGAATTGATACATAATAAACAAACCGATAAAATAAATGATAAATCTCCTTAAACCATGAATATCAAACTATTAAACTTTAAAAATAAAAATAAAATTCTAACATCAGCAAAAAAACTCAAGGGAACAGGAATTTTTATTAAAGAAGATTACTCGAATGAAACAATTATAAATAAGGAAAAATCTTTGGGAGGAAGTCAACGGCTACGCAAAGAAGGTAAATACGCTATTATTAAATATAATAAAATATTTGTAAGAGATTTTCGTAACTAGGAGAGTGGTTAGCAAAAAAAACAACAAAAAAAAAACAACAATCTTTGTAATTAAAATTTGCAAACCAACAAAATGGCAAACGATATAATAGATTTTGAAACCTATTATTCCGATTATTTCAAAACCGCAAATCATATATTACATAACGACTTTTACCACGCGGATAAAAATTTTTTTAAGACAAATGTACTTATAAAGAATATTTTGAAATTGATACGTTTAAAACCCAGTTCAAGCAATATAATGATTTACACAGTTATACACATTAACATAAAAAGTATTAACTCAAATATCGACAAATTGAAAAATTTTCTTTTAGAATGTAAGTATTCGTTCAGCATAATTTGTCTCTCAGAAACGTGGCGTACTGACAATTTTTCTCAAAAAAAATCAAATTTTCAAATTACTAACTACAACATGATTCCTTTTGATAGAAAAATACTCAAAAAAGGAGGAGGAAATTTGGTTTATATTTAAAATGATCTTGAAAAAAAAATTAGAAACGACCTCTCATTCTCCGATGCCGACAATGAGGCCCTCACAATAGAAATAATCAATAAAAATAAAAAAAACATTTTAGTAACTACTTGTTACAGGCCACTTAATGGCAATATTATCAAATTTTCTAACGATTTGAATCAGATCTTTATAAAAAATAACAGTGAAAAATTATATAATTTTGCATAGGAGACTTGAACATAGATTGTTTAAAATACAACAAAAACACCAACATTAAAATCTTCTTTGACAATTTATTTCAGCTCGGCATATTTTCACTAATCAATAAACCCACCACAGTCACCTCAACCTCAATTGCAGCAATAGATAATATACTGACCAAATCATTTTCAGACATATCCTTAAAAACAGGAATATTTAAAATTGATATATCAGGCCACGTTCCAATATTCTTCTCACTTTCATTAACCTCACCCAGTAAACATCGGACCGAAAAAAGACGTCTTTTGAACGTTCAAAAGACGTTCAAAAGACGATCAAAACGTGTATAAGAAGTTTAAAAGACCGTTTTTGCTGGGCAGCGTCATTAAATAATTCAAAAATCAAAACATATAAAAGAAAATATAACGAATCTTCTATTCACGAATTTAAAGAAACCTTATTAAAAACAAATTGGTCAAATGTTTATCTACAATGCGACCGAGAACTTACAAATTCTGCGTATAATATATTTATTGACACTTTTTTTGAGCACTACAACAAACACTTTCCAATTATTGAAAAAGAAATAAAAGTTATATATTTGAGATGTCCATGAATAGCAAGCGGAATAAAAAAATCGTCTAAGAAAAAACAAAAACTGTACAAAAAATTTTTAAAAAATAGAAACCATAAAAATCGTACTGTTTATAAACAATGCAAAAACCTTTTTGAAACAATTAAATAAAAAACTAAAAAAATGTATTTTTCTAAACAATTACAAAAGCACGATGGTAGTATTAAAAAGACATGGGATTTTTATGAACGAAGTTATTGGAAAAACCAAAAATAAGCCAGAAATATTACCCTCCAGAATTGAGGGAGATGGGTTGACGTATACAGATAAAAAAACTCCGTCAAACTTAACAATTTTTTTGTAAATATCGGTCCTAAACTAGCATCCAAAATAAACAACTCAAACAATTCATTTAATAACTATTTTACTGTCCATTCTAGTTCATTCTCTGAGAGTGAAGTAAAATCTGAGGAATTTGAAGAAGCAGCAAAATCACTTAGAAAAAACAAAGCTCCGGGCATCGATGACATTTCTAGCAATGTAGTACATGAAATTTTATTCATTTTAAAAGATCTTCTTTTAAAGGTTTTCAAGTCATCAATTAGAAGTGGAGTTGTTCCAAACAAATTAAATATTGCGAAGTTTTTACCTATATTAAAAACTGGAGACATGGCCTTCCTAACCAAATATAGACCTCTCATTTCAATTCTTCCAGTGTTTTCCAAACTCCTGCAAAGAATTATGTACAACCAACTTTATAAATATTTAACAGCCAATAAAATTCTTAGTGAATGTCAATACGGCTTTCAAAAAAATCATTCTACGGAGTATGCAACCTTTGACCAAATGGACAACATTAAATCATCTTTTGATGAAGGAAAATTTGTTATGGGAGTTTTTATTGATCTTACAAAAGCTTTCGATACTGCCAACCATAAAATTCTGCTCAACAAAATGAGAAAGTACGGTATAAAAAACCAAACTATTAAATGGTTCACCAATTATTTAAATAACAGACAAAAATGTGTTATAATAGACAGTATCACTTAACAAAGTTATTAATAATAAAATAAGATGTCCCCAGGGATCTATTTTTGCACCTTTATTATTTCTTATCTTCATTAACAATCTCCTTAATTCCTCTACAAATCTCGATTGTATAATGCTTGCAGATGATATCAATCTGTTTTACTCATCTACCTCTATCAATGATCTTTTTGATAAAGTCAACATCGAGTTTCAAAAACTTAAAACATGATTCAGTGATAACATGTTATCATTAAACCCACAAAAAACTAAATATATTTTATTTCACTTAAAGAAACAGAAAAATAAACTACCATCAATTCTACCCTCACTAAGTATCGAACACAAAAAAACTGAAAGAACCCAAACAATTAAATTTCTTGGTGTGATTATTGACAAAAATGTTTCATGGGCAGCCCATATAAATGCTATCAACACTAAAATATCTAAAAGTATTGGTATACTTTTTAAAGCTAGACCATTTTTATCACAAAAAAACTTAAAACTTCTTTACTTTTCCTTTATACATAGTTATCTCACATATGCCAACATAGCTTGGAGAATCATACACAAGACAAAGTTATTGTCCCTTTATCGACGACAAAAACATGCCTCTAGAATAATACATAATAAGAACAAACTGACCCACACCTAACCCTTGTTAAAAGAAATGAAAGCCATAAACATTTACCAAATTTTTATCTATGCTAATATATTATTCATGCTAAAATACAAATTAGGATTATTTCCAAACTGATTTACAGAAAATTTCTTTTAATCTAATATCAACAAATTTAACGCAAGACCAACTAGTAACTTTATTGAACCCCGGAAAAGACAAAAAAATTCTCAATTTTCTATTTCTTATTGCGGCCCTTAATTATATAACAAATTAATTCCAATTTATACCTCAATTTCTTTTGCTGACAATATAACTTCTTTAAAGTCAAAACTAAAAAATCATGTTCTCAATACAGATAATCACATAGAAATGTTTTAGTTCTAATGATAAATTAATGTTTACGCTCACATTCAAACAATCAGCAGTCAATTAAAAATGAAAATGTAATTATAATATTATTATTATAAATCACAACACTAATACCATACATAGTATAGTAAAAAGAAAAAAAAATTGTACATCAATAACATCCGCCTATAATGAATAGCCTATGAATATTATTAATAGTGCGCATAATTACGCATTGTTACGCCTATTGTTCGTTTTGTTAACTACGGTTCTGCATTATGTAAAATACACTATTTCTTTGCCTCTAAAATTTTCTAAGCGCAGTTATATATTCCATGCGGTCATTCGAGTAAAATCAGCAATCAAATTGGAGCTGATACATTTATTTTCAAGAAGAATTAATGTTGTTTATTTTTTAAAATGAAAATTTAAATAATTGTTAGTTTGCTATGTATATATATATATATGTATATATATATATATGTATATATATATATATCTATATGTATATATCTATATGTATATATATATCTATATGTATATATATATGTATATATATATCTATATGTATATATATATATCTATATGTATATATATATATATCTATATGTATATATATATATATCTATGTATATATATATATATGTATATATATATATCTATATGTATTTTCTCTTAGCAAAAATAATTGAGAATAGAAAAATAAAAAAAAATTCTTCTGGAATTTGTCAAAAGGGTGTTGTGTTATTCTTCATTTTAAGGTATCTAAATATGTATTTATTTTTCATTTTTTAAAATAAGTTAGAACTAAATTGACTGGTAAAATAGTTTTTTTAGTACAATGTTTCTTTTTTAAGAAAATAGTTTTGTCGTTAGTCTTTTTAAAACATTTTAAGCAGTATTTGTTTTATTTTTTAGAGCAGTTAAGAGAAGCTGATCGCTTTTTTAGTAAGTTCAAGTTATTTTCTCATACATAAATTAAGGTTTTCGATTTATTTCAGTCTATTTTATATTTCTCTATATCTACATATATATAATCTCTAAGGAAAAATAATAAGGAATAAAAAAATTAAGAAAATTTCTTCTGGAATTTGTCAAAAGAGTGTTGTGTTATGCTTCATTTTAAGGTATCTTATATGTATTTATTAGAAATTTTTTTAAACCAAGTTTAAAAAAGTTGTTAAACCAAGAAAATTGTAGAGGTTTATTTATCAATATATACTATATATTATAAAATAATATTGGAGGGAGTAAGTTAAAAAGTATTTTTAAATTTTTAAAAAGAAATAAAAATACTTTTCAATATATATCTGTTTTTTTTGAGGTAGATTTAAAGTTTCAGGTTTTCAAAATTGTAGATCTTTTTAATGTATAAATAGACATTAAGTATTTCTAAGTAGACATTACGTATATATAAAATCTTTTAAAATTTAATAAGTAATTATTTGTTTAAATAAGTAGTTAATTGTTATAATTTATTAAGATTTAAATTATTAGAAAATTCATGTTTACAGAGTTGTTATTAATCATTATCGAGTTGTTGAACCAAAGAAATTGAAGAGGTTTAGTTATCAAATATATACTATATATATTGTAAAAAAAATTTTGGTTTTCATATGTTTTCACTAATAAATAGTTCTATATATATATATAAATATATATATATATATATATATATATATATATATATATATATATATATATATATATATATATATATATATATATATATATATATATATATATATATAACTATATATAACTATATATATCCTTGGAGTTGCGACAGCATAATAGTGTGTTAGGAGAAAAAAATTTATAAACCCGCGTTAATAACCTGTTTTCTATCGTACATAATGCATTAATAATGCATTAATAAGTTTTATTACGTGTTTTGTTCAATGTTTTCTCCCAACGCATGAACTATGACGCTGTCGCAGTTTTTTTTTTTTATTATTAGAAATAAAATAAGTTTTAATAAGTTTTTGCTGATGTGGTTGCAGGTTTTTCTTAACTTCTATCAAATAAACTTAAGAAACCTGTATTACTTTTGATGAGGGCAAATTAATTTTATTTTGCATTTGTTTGGTTTCTTTATATATATTTGTTTTGAAATTTTTTTTTTTTTAATTTTTCGAGTATGATTTTTTTAGTTATTAAGTTTTTTTATTTTATTGTTAACTTTAGATTAGTAAAAAAAAAAAAGAAATAATTAGTGTTGCTTTGATAAATATATTTAATGAATATGATGACATTGAAATGAATGATAGGCTAGATGTAGTTTTGTATTTACAAGATGATGTAAGTGCTATAAGGCGTGTTGAAAATAATCGTAGACGAAATGAAAGAAATAGACTTAGGCGAGATGAAATTAATTGTTTACAAAATGAAAGAAATAGGCTCGATTGAGATAATGTTAATCGTCGCCAAAATGAAAGAAATAGGCTCGATCGAGATAATGTTAATCATCGCCAAAATGAAAGAAATAGGCTCGATTGAGATAATGTTAATCATCGCCAAAATGAAAGAAATAGGCTATATCGAGATAATGTTAATCATCGCCGGAAAGAAAGAAATAGGCTCGATCGAGATAATGTTAATCATCGCCAAAATGAAAGAAATAGGCTATATCGAGATAATGTTAATCATCGCCAAAATGAAAGAAATAGGCTATATCGAGATAATGTTAATCATCGCCAAAATGAAAGAAGAGCTGTTGGACAAGGACGAATGTATTCTATAGCGAGAAGTAATGCTATTCCAGATTATAATTATTTAGGAGAAATGAATCAAATTTTTCAGCACTGTGGTGCTAAGAAATTTCCAGATGAAACACATTTTCTATGTTGCCATAATGGTAAGGTAGCTTTGCCTCCACTTTCACCAATTACACAAGCTTTACAGGATTTGTTTACAGGGAGTTATGTAGATTGTAATGCTAATGCTAATTTTTAAAACATATTTGAAATTATAATGCCTGCCTTTCTTTTGCTTCTTTTACAGCAAATGTAGTTCAACCAATGAATCATGGGCTTCCATGTTTTAAAATATGTGGCCAGATTTTTCATCGTGTAGGTAATCTTAGGCCAGATCAAGATATTCCACCAATATATTCTCAACTATATATTTATGATCCACTTGCTGAACTAAATTTTAGAATGCAACACTATGCTAATGATCTTTGTTTACGTGATTTAATGTTTCAATTGCAAACTATAATTATGGAACAAAGTTCATTTGCTCTTGCATTTAAAAACATGGCTGAAGTAGAAGATGAAGAAATTCGTAAGGCGGCTATAGAAGGTCGCTCAGCTTCTGTTGCAAAAATGTCTTTACTTGAAGGCGGTGATAGAAGTTGTTATAATCTACCTTCACATGATGAAGTTGCAGTTGTATTTGTTGGCGAAGATGGTGCTTCCCCAACTTCCAGGGAAGTTGTTATTTACCCAAGAGGTCATCCTTTAAAAATTGTATCAAGTATGTCAGCCAACTTGGATCCTATGGTTTATCCGCTATTTTTTCCAAGAGGTGATGCTGGTTGGCATAATCAATTGGTGCATAACCCTGAGAGTGCCACACTGGTTAGAAATCATGTTACATTATCTCAGTTCTACAATTACAGACTTTCTGTTAGGCAATTTTTCTGTTCATTATTTTATGGCAAGAAACTATTTCAGCAATATGCTGTAGATGCATATGTAAAAATTGAAGGCCAGTGTCTTGCTTTTATCAGAAATAATCAAAATAAGCTGAGAAGCGAGCAGTACGATGCCTTACATGAACATATTAACAACATTGCCAATGATCGTAATATTAGACCAGGACGAGTAGTAGTTTTGCCATCATCTTATGTAGGAAGACCTAGAGCTTTAAAAGAAAACTTTGAAGATGCTATGGCAATTATTAAAAAGTATGGTAAACCAGATCTTTTTATAACTTTTACTTGCAACCCAAAATGGCGTGAAATAACAGAAAATTTATATCCGGGTCGGAATGCGAATGATAGACCTGATTTGGTTACTCGAGTATTTAAACTCAAGTTAAATAACCTCCTCAATGATATATTCAAACATGGTGTATTAGGCAAAGTTGTAACGCATGTTCAAGTTATTGAGTTTCAAAAGCGTGGTTTGCCGCATGCCCACATTTTACTTCATTTAGCAAATGATGATAAACTTGAAACATCACAGGATATCGATAATTTGATTTGCTCAGAAATTCCAGATCCGATAGTTAATTGTGAACTTTATGATATTATCAAAACTTGCATGATTCACGGCTTATGTGGGATACTGAATCCAAATTCTCCCTGCATGAAAGATGGGGTGTGCAGCAAAAAATATCCTAAAGATTTTAATGCCAACACAGTAGCTGTTCACAATGGTAATCCGCGCTATAGGCGTCGTGATAATGGGTTGGTTATCAATATTAAAGGCAACAATGTAGATAACCGTTGGGTGGTACCTTATAATCCTTGGTTATCAAAGAAATATCAAGCCCACATTGATGTTGAAGCTTGCATGTCTGTAAAGGCTGTTAAATATTTGTATAAATACATATACAAACGGCATGATTGTGCGAATGTTTTGATAAATGAACAGGTTAATCACGATGAAATAAACACTTTCTTAGATTGCCGTTATGTTAGTGCACCTGAGGCGCTGTGGCGAATATTTGAGTATCCCATAAGTCATATGTCACACTCTATTATCCGTCTTAAGGTTCATCTTCCTGAGAATCAGATTGTGTATTTTAGAGAAGGAGAAGAACAAGTGGCGTTAGATCGTGCTGCTCAACGTGATACACACATTACGGCCTGGTTTAAATTGAATTCTGAAAATGAAGGAGCCAATCGCTATTCATATGTTGACATTCCATATCACTTTGTATTTGATGATAAACATTGTAAATTGAAGGTTAGACAAAGAGGTGGAAATAAGGTGATAGTAAGAATGTATAAAGTTAGTCCAACAGGAGAATTATTTTTTCTTAGATTGTTACTTTTACAAGCAAAAGGAGCAAAATCTTGGGAGGATTTGCGTACTGTTAATGGAATAGTTCTTGAAACCTTTCGTGAAGCGTGTGTTTTTAATGGTTTATTGCAAGATGACACTGAATGGCAGAATACTCTTTCTGAGGCAGTTTTAACGCGAATGCCTAAGCAAATCAGGCAGCTGTTTTCAATTATTTTAGCCATTTGTGAACCTGATGACCCTTTGCATCTTTGGAATTCATACAAAGCCTTTATGATGGAGGATTTCATTCATCGCCAAGTTCCATTTATATTAGCTGAACAAGCTACTCTTCTTCAAATCGAAAAGATTGTTATTCAAAGTGGTAAAACGCTATTTGATTATAATTTGCCTGTTGTTGATGAACTCATAGATTTTAATCTGGAAAATTTAAATGATAATGTTCAGCAATCAATTGACGAAGCTAATCGAATGAGACCGCTTCTTAATGTCAATCAATTAAATGTAAGTATTGCTGTCCTTGCTGCATTAAACGAGCAACCATGTGTAGAAAATCAACATTCCAGATTGTTTTTTATGGATGGACCAGCCGGTAGTGGCAAAACTTTTACATATAATTATTTGATTGCTGAAATGAGCAGTAGGGGTGTTAAATCTGCTACAGCTGCATGGACTGGCATAGCAGCAACTCTTCTTACAAATGGATCTACGCTGCACGGGTTATTTAAACTTCCTGTCCCAATACTGGATAACAGCACATGTAATGTGACTCCTAACTCTATTCAGGGACAATTTTTAAGGCAAGTTAGTTTGTTTATGCTTGACGAGACATCCATGATTCCCAAACACGCTTTAAATGCAATCGATTGGTTGTTACAACAACTTTCCATTTGGAGGAAAAGTCATTCTTTTTTGTGGTGACTTTAGGCAAATTTTGCCTATTGTGAAAAGAGGGAGACCAGCTGAAGTTGTAGAATCATGTATAAAATGTTCTTTACAGTGGCAATGGGTGCAGAAGTTTACATTAACTGAAAATATGAGAGTACGTGATGGAGAAGGAGATTTTTCCGAATGGCTGTTAAAACTTGGTAGTGGAACAATACCTGGCAAGGAGGAAGATCCTTTAAAGGGATGTATTGAAATACCGCAACAGTGCATTATTAGAGAAAACGAATCAACTGTTGAAAAAATATTTGGAGATGCTCAACAAGATGATTATGCTAAACGGGTCATTTTAACACCCACCAATGTGGATTCATTGTCAATCAATGAAGAAGTGCTTGAACGTCTACATGGAGAGGTCAAAACTTATTTAAGTGCTGATCAAATAGACACTGACAATCTTAATGAAAGAAATAATTTCCCTGTTGGGTTTTTGAACAGCTTAACTCCTTCAGGTATGCCTACTCATTGTTTAAAATTGAAAATTGGTTGTGTAATTATGCTACTTAGAAATTTAGATCTTAAAGCTAGGCTATGTAATGGAACCCGAATGAAAGTTTGTGCTCTCCAAAACAATTATATTGATGCAGAGATTTTGACAGGTGTTTCTGAAGGTAAACGGGTATTTGTTCCTCGAATTCAGTTGGCTCCATCAGATTCTAATTTACCTTTTGTTCTAAAACGTCGTCAGTTTCCTGTCAGATTAGCTTATTCGATGACAATCAATAAAAGTCAAGGTCAAACATTTAATAGAGTTGGGGTATATCTAAAAAACCGTGTTTCTCCCATGGTCAACTATACGTTGCATGTTCAAGAACTAGAGCATTTAATAGTTTGTTTTTCAAAATTGATAAACATCCTATTCAAGGTATGGTAGGTGAAAAATACTACACAAATAATGTTATATTTTCTAATGTTCTTAATTTATAGTCTTAATATTTTCATTTCTAAAATTTACTGTTTGTAGGTTGTGAGCACATTTTGTATGTGTAACTTTAATATTTTTATTTTTTTCATAGTTTTTGATAAATATATTTGTCATTTAATATTGTTATATATTGTGTTTATATGTGTTATATGAAGTCATATTTGTTTATAGTTGTATATATGTTTACATTATGTTGTTTCCATGTTTTCAAAGTGGTGTGACTTGGCAAAATGTTAAGCAAGATTGTTAACCTTGCCAGCCAAGCGGTGTACTTATAGCAGAGGTGTGACTTGGCACCATTTTGTGCCAGACGGTGTTACTGCTTTAGAGCTAGGTTGTGTTGTCTAGCTTTTTTTAATTATTCTGGAAACACATAATGTCTGGTAATGTTTTGTGTAATGTGTATAAAAGAGTATGCAACCTTGATCCTTAAATTTAAAAATAATTGAATAACTAATATTGAATATAAAAGCAAATATACTATATTAAAGTTTAGTAAAAGGATAAATGTAGATAACTCAAAATTGGTTTTTTAGTTTTGCCTTTCATATTCTTTTAAAATTGGTTTGTTATTTTCCACTGGATTTTAGAATCAAGGGTGTAAATATTAGTTATATAGGTGTGAATATGTGTTAATGTTATGTGTTATTGTTATAATGTTGTAATGTATTGTTATAATGTATAATATTGTTATATTGTTGTGATGTTTTGTGTTGATAGACAGCTTGGCTTACCTTCCCGTTGGTGTCTATCGTTAAAAATGAATAATAGATAGTTTCATTATTGGAACTTGCTGCTTTTATTCATTTACTAAAAGCCAAGACAAAATCTTGCTAAAAATTCAATTTATGTCTTTATTTGATTTTTTTTTCCTTTAGTATTGTTAATCCTTTAGTACTTCGAAAAAGATTTTATAGCTACTTTTTTCTATAAATGTTTATATTAATTGCAATATCAAAAGGTTACAAAAACAGGTAAATCGGTTTTCAGTGTTTATATGTGGTGTGTGTATATATATATATATATATATATATATATATATATATATATATATATATATATATATATATATATATATATATATATATATATATATATATATATATATATATATATATGTATATATATATGTATATATATATATATGATGTTATAATTCCGTTCCTTTTTTTTATTTTAGATTTTACCATATGACGTATTAATACAATATTAAAAAAAAAAACTTGATTTCCTAAATTTGTAAAATTTTGTTCGTTTGTTAAAAAGATATAAAGACATTAATATAAATATTTTTTTCCGATGTTTTCCCTATCTTATGCTTTAATAATTCGTTGTTAAAATCACAGGGAGACTTGCAGTTTGTCAAATATTAAGTTGATTAGTTTAGTCTGCAATTGCAACACTTTTAAGGAAAGAAAAAATTCTTATATATGTAAATTGTTGTTTTACGCTTTATTATTTTGGTAAAAGGTCTTCATCATAAATAGATTACTCTTCATAAAAAAAACTCTACTCACATCGTTACCATTAAAACAAAAAAAGGGGAGGGGCTCTTAATTAGCGGAGATGTCAAAATATTGACGAAACCGAAACTTCGAGTAATAAAAGGAATATTTAGTAAATGGCAGCAAATTACTTTACCGTTTGCAAAAAATTATTGAAATAAAGAGGCCATCTATTCAATATAGAAATAATCAGAGTTTAGAAGGCTTAACATGACCGGGTCCGTTAGCTTTGTTTGCAAATATGAGATTATGTCACGTTAACAACCTCAAAAGTCAATTTAAAACATGTTTAGTAGCAAAATGTGATATATACAAGTATAAATGTGATAGTATAGTAATACTTTTTTATCATTTTTTAGCTAATAAAATGGATTTAAGACTAGATTGATTTTTGTTTCCTGTTAAACCGCAGTAAATAAAAATTAGAAGGCTATTTGGCCCCGACAGAATATGCGACAAGTTTGTATTAAACTCATTTACACAAAAATGGAATTAAGACAAGTTAGCTCCTAAAATTATCTATATGTACAGATATGTTTATTGCACTTATTAGTAAATAAACTGATTAGTTGCGTAATGAGTTTAAATTTTAGCCATTTTTTAAAGTTGATAATCATAACGTACTTAATTAAACATGCGTGATGTAATTTGCATAGCTAAATTAAATGCTCTTTGCGCTTAGTGTTGCGCAGTTTGGTTTGTGCGCAGTTTTTCTTCTGTTCTGGAATTTTGAGATTAGAATTTCCAGACTTATTTTAAAAAACGCGTTTTCGTTTTAATTTTTTTTTACATCTAATCGTACCTATCAAGTAGGTCATATTCAGTATAATCAATTCAATCGTTTTCATTTTTTATGTTTTAACATGTCTATTACCTTTATTAAATTTGTTTTTAAGCATATTTGTTTTTATTTTTTATATCGAATTAATAGAATGAATCAGATTGAAGATGAAGGTTTGTATTTATTTAGATAGTGTATTATGTTACAGATGTATAATGTTATGTTGTTAGTTCTTAAATATATGTTTATTTTTAGTTGCTGAATTACTAAGAAGTAAGTTTTCTTTCATTTTGTTATTAACAAATGTTATAAATTGCATTTATATGTTTGTTAATTTAAATTAACTTTACAATATTAAAATGGTTTAAACGAACTTAAACGAACTTTTGTAAATGAATTTAATCCTCAAAGATTAAATTTTTTTTATTATTGAAGAAATTAAACTAGATTTAAGAATGAGTCGACTTAAATGTTTGTTTGTTTTTCTATTTAGATGATGACAATATTGAAGCAAGTAAGTTAAAAAGCATTTTTAAATTTTTAAAAAGAAATAAAAATACTTTTCAATATATATCTGTTTTCTTTGAGGTAGATTTAAAGTTTCAGGTTTTTAAAATCATATATATTATAAGATTTAAGAATGAGTCGACTTGAATGTTTGTTTGTTTTTCTATTTAAACGTTGTTGATAATATTGGAACAAGTAAGTTATAAAGCATTTTTAAATTTTTAAAAAGAAATAAAAATACTTTTTAATATGTTTCTGTTTTCTTCGAGGTAGATTTAAAATTTACGGTTTTTAATATCATATATATTATAATATTAAACTTTTTTTTACTTTAAAAATATCCATATTATAGTTACACTGAGTCGTAGAAAAAAATTAAAGTTTATTAATAAGGTAGTAGATTATTAGAGTAGATTAAATTGTTTGATCTATTAATCAACTTAATAACGTACTATTAAAGTAAAGGTTTATTTTGGTTGTTTGTTAAAATTTAGTTATAGTTTATTTAAAATTTAAATTCTTTAGTTGATCAAGAGAGATCTAATAAAGGTATTAATTACATTAGTTGAATGTAGCATTTAATATGCATTTTATCGATATTTTAACGTCTTAACATTAAAGTGCTTTTATTGTTTAGATACAGAAGTGAAGAAGGAAATAAGTCAGTGTTTTTGCTATTAGATATTTGTTATTAGGAATTTGTTTATTTGTACTGCCACTGGAATTTTAAAAAATCAAGTTTTTTAGCATTTTTTTTATACTTTCTTTTAGGGGAGTTGGAACAAAAACTAAGTATAAATTATGATTAGTTTAGTTTAATAAATAAAGCATTAATATTTAGAAGATTTAAAGTTTACTTTAGTTTATAGTTTTGGTTTAGTTTATAGTTTTGTTTTTAGCTTTAGTTATTTTTTTCTTACTTTAGACAACTTTATGAATGAAATGAGGGGGATGGGTAAAACAATTATTTAGATATGTATATATTTATATGTTAACATTTTTTTATCGATTATTGTATATTTATTTAAGTGTATATTTGTCTTTAGTGTCAGGTGGAAGTATAGCTGGTAGGACTGTGTTTTATACTTTATATATTTTGTATGGAGAAATATATGCAATAGGTGAAAAAATTAATTAATAAATATGACACTTTTGAACTGGTTGCATTTTTGCCCTATATATTTATTAAAATACAAAATATTGCATGTTTAACCCTTATTAATTTGCTGTTTTTTTTTGTTTTTTTTTAGCATCTTCTGTTTCGAATGAAAATGGTGAGGTTATGCTAGTTTTTTTTTTTTTAATAATTGCAAATGTATAATTTTTATTATACTCTTCTATTTGTAACTTTAGATTCCTTATCATTCGAACAATACCAAAGTTATCGCTCCCAACACCCGGGACCTCTCTCAGAGAGGTCCTTCAATAAATGGAAACGTAATGGCGGTATGGATGAGCCCTCCTTTAAATGGAGGGCTTTTAATAAAATTTTTAATTGTCTTTTCACCAATTAATCCTGACTTCAAATTTGAAGCCCTCTTAAATACCCCTCCCTAAATTCTAAAGTCGAAAGTTGAATTGATTCATTATCCAATTATCATAATATAATGATGCTGCATTCTTTTGTTAAAAACAATTATTGGGTTCTGCTTTTAAAATTTACCAGAAACCAAGGCAATATATTTAGCTATATAAATACAATTTATTTATCTCGATTCTATTCTTTATCTTTAATGTTTATAGTTTGGCTCCTTAAAGCATTTTATGTTTTGCTCTTTTTATTATGAATATTTTAAATCCGTTGTGATGTCTTTTAAATTAAACTAAAGTTTACTAAAAGCCAACATAAAAATTACATTTTTGAACAACACTAAAAAGAACAGCTGCATCCCTACAGCAACTGCTGCAGTATCACAATAGGTTACCAAAAGCAGGTATACTGTTTTCCAGTTGTTGTTTTTTTTTCATATATAATATGAAATATTCATAATACTATAGTACGATTGTTTATATCTCATTCATTTTTTTTTTTCTTTATCTTTAAGTGTTAATAATTTTATTCTTTGAATGATTTTAGTGAAACAAGTCGGCTTTTCATTAAAGATATTGGTTTTAAAATTGAACATCATTAGCAAAATGCTTACAAAATTAGGTAGTTTTTAAAAATCTGTTTTCTATTTAATACACTTTTTTTTTTAATATACTTTTTTAATATACTTTTCTATAACAATTCTACTAATATGGAATCACGTAGCTTTTTAAATATGTTTAATTGTCGTGTCTATCGGTAATAAATATTTTAAATTATTTGATATGGTTTTCTTTACAATAGGCTATGCTTGGCTCCTCGGTGCTGTAAATGGTGGCTTCAACTTTGTTTTTTTTAAGAAAAATGTGTTTTATATATGCTTCTGTTTTAAAATATTTTTGTTACATATTTAACTATATATCATGTAAATAAATTTCTTTTAAAGATAAGTAAACTTAATACTTGCTTTTTTACGGATTTTCAAAAAGTGAACAAAGGTTTAAATATATTTTTTAACTGTCTTTTATGATTTTATCAATTTTATTAAAGCTGAATAATTACTTCAAAAATATTGAGTAAAATCCAATTGCTTTTATTATTAACCTGATCTATACAAAAATTAATGAAATAAAACTAATAATCTAACGCCAAGTTAAGGCAAAATGTATTTTATAAAATTAGTATAAATATGGATTGGATGTATGCTGAAATAAA